GAGTTTATGCAGATAATGTTGGTGTTCCTCTCTCGCTTTTTTGGACTTGCGCCTTTGCATTTACCTCCATCCTGAGTGTACTGGTGGCTTTCTTACAGTGTATGATGAGCAAAAACTGTGGATGTAAATCTTCAGGTAACTAATGTTTTGTTTTTATCTCAAAACTTATTCCAGAATTTTGAATGTTATTTATTTTTTTTATGTTGCAGAGTCTCAAACAAGAGCTTCCAATGAAGATGCAAAGGTGAGTTAATACTGGTCAGTTGCCATTTTCCTAAAGAAAAATCAGCCTCCGATATTAATAATATGATACGATAATACAAGATAATAAATCTTTTGTTGTCAGGATTTCCAAGAGGCAGAAAAGTTCCTTTTTGCTCCTTCAAGTGTCAAGCTGGATAACAGGTCAAGAAGTCAGAGGGATCAGACCTGGACTGAATGTGTGTACTACAGTGTGAAGCTACAGCGGTACACAGAGCAGTAAAACCGAAAATGTTTCATTTGCTATTTAGACACAATTTTTCCTTTTATCGTTTATTTGCGGTGTTCAGCTAAAACATGCTTGAATAACACGCTTTCTTTATAAAGCATAATACTTTCACTTTTAGGGCTTTGTTTTTCCTGTGGGGTCATGTTCACAATGTCTTTTTTAATTTCGCTTGTAATGTTTTTTGTAACTTCAATTTATTTTGAATTTGTCTCCCGACAAAATGTTTTTTGTAAATCTTTTGTTACTGAAGCTCAACCAGAATAAAATATTTAAAAACCTTCAAACCTTGACTCTATATGTGTGTGCAAGTTCAATCCAGTGATAACGCAGATTGTGTATGCATCGCTTACCTGGGAAACAACTGACACATGCAAGGTGGTGTTCTGTCCAGTCAACATACATTGTCAGATCGGCATACGCATGGCACAAACTGACAGCTATGTATGTTAGACGATACATTCAAAACTGCATTTCTCTTTTCAAAGAATACATTAAAAACTGCAAATCGTGTAAATGCACTGCAAACTATGCAGCCCTGCCATTGTCACTATAAACAACAATTTGCTTGCCCTAAAATAAACATCATTTACTTACAATTTGTCATCCGTATGCTGAACCGACGTCTTCTATTCACATGGGATTACTCTACAATGTGCAAACAAGCAAGTTAATGCAATGTCCTCATCGTTTCTGACTGTTTTTTTACTAGTTTTACATTTGGCCAGGGTCAGCAGTAATACATAATGTTATATGCTATACTAGAGCTGGGCAATAGAACTATAATGATATGTATTGCTAAATAACTTTTTCTCGATAGAAAAGTTAAACTATTGCGATAGG